AGGGTTTGGGGTGTTAGGGTTTTGGGGTCAGGGATTGTCGGTTTATTAAATTAGCAAACCTTGAACCGCAAGCCCACCAGAGCCCTGAACCGTTCGAACGCCCCCAGGGTTTAGGGTTTAGTGTTGTATTTTCGGCAGAAAGAACCTTGTTCTGTGGACTAAAATGTCCCAGGCACAGTGTTTCAACCACAACACCTCCCTCGCTTGAGATAGCCTGGTTACTGCATCCCGTAAGGGTTCATGTACTACAGTACATATAGTATACACATTGGCTATGAAGGGGTTGCTATATACACATATATACGTAGGGTTCGTTATACTCAAAAGTCTTCGGTATTGGAAGGAGGTTATCGTGCAACACGTGGCGCCACGCGAAGCTTGCAGGCAGCATTCGACGACCTACTTCCTGACTTCCTGACGGCGCACTTTGAGGACGAGGAGCTGAATTTCCCGCCCCCCCCCCCGCCTCCTACAGTCTTACGGGTCGTGTGAGGGTTCTTTCAGGGTTCTGAAAGGATTCGATGATCCCTGTATGGTTCCCGATTCTGCCTGCTCTGTAGCTTTTCAAAGTGAAAGTGCCTGTGGACTAGCGAAGAAAGTGAGACGAAGCCGAGACACGCAATCCCCAAACGCTAGTGCTGCACGCTAAACCAGAAACCCTGACTGCCTAAAACCGAAACCCTAAACCCTAAACTCTAACCGCCTAAACCCGAAACCCTAAACCCCAAACCCTAAAACCCAACCCTAAACCCTAAACCCTAAACCCTAAACCCTTCCACCAGGATGACTTCTCCTCGCCGAGCGACCTCGCTGGCGGTGGTCTCAGGAAGCCGAAATCCTCGGGGCGATTGCCTGGCCCCTTCCCCCTACTTAAAGGATCATGGGACTGAGGGTTTAGGGTTTGGGGTTTACTTAGTAACTGAGGTTATAAACAAGGTAACTATACTTATAACCCCAGTTAGGGTACTTATAACCCTACTTACTAAGTCCCAAGATCCTCCAAGTACTGGAGACCCCAGATTGAAGAATCCATCCGTGAGCAAGGATTCGACTATGAATCCTTATGTGGAACAGCCAATAAACCCTAAACCCTATAAGCCCTAAACCCTAAACCGTTAATTAAGATAGAAGACTTCGAAGACTGCTGAACTCCTCGATAAGGCGGTGAGTTCATGGGCTCCGACATGTCCGAGGAGGATGACATTCAGGTCAGGGACCTGAAACCATGTCCGGAAGCCAGAAGGTTCAGGGCTTCGGGGTTAGTGCTAAGTTCGGATTTAGGGTTTAGGGGCCAAGTAACCCTAGAATTCCAAGGGCTTAGAGAAGGAAATCATATCAGGGAGCCCTAGAAAGGAAGGGTTTCGAGTAACTTCTGTTCCACCAGCCCTGCTGAGCCCCTTAACCCTAAGCCCTGAACATCTCTGAACCCTTACTTGACCTGAGCTGGACCCCATACAATCGACAATCCTTCGGACAGCTCCTGTACGTAGGGTTTCAGAAACTTTCCAGCGCGCATCTTCGGAAGCGGGTGAGGGCTCATGTGTCTGCGAAGAGCTGCGGAGAAGGCAAGATGGGGTCTATTCGATGTGTGCTTTTGGTTGTAGCATGCTATAGCATTATGTGGGGTTCGGTTACTCTCAACATCGTCGTTTTGGGTCTATAAAACCACAACAGGTGCGTGCTTAGACCGTGACTATATGGCTTAGTTGAAGTGATGCATGTGTCGAGCATGGTCTCCTAAAAGAGCGGCTTGAGCACCCCAAACCTAAACCCTAAACCCTAAACCCTCAGCCTTGCAAAACCTCGGGCCATGTCCACCAGCCAGGACTGAGTGCAGACCGCGTGCTGCGCCCACGCGGAAAAAAAACAACTCTTCGTTTATGACTTCGGTCTTGGCAACTTGGGTGGGGTTTAGGGTTTGAATTTGGAGTTCAGGGTTTATGGCTGGTATGTTATGATTGCTGTTTCTGGCTTCTAATGCCCTCAACCGAAGTGCTGAGAAGAGACTTACTGGGTTCTCTCCAGCAACCCGTTGGCATGATAGCTTTAGGGTGTAGGGTCTCGGGAGTTGTTTCCATGATGCTATTCGCATTTTTCTCAGTTGGCTTATGGCTTAGGCTATAGAAAATGATAGTGAACATGATGTGGCATGTAGGACTTCCTTGACGCGAGTTGCCTAAGGTTTACACTTGCAGGAAAATGAAAGGAATCGTACAACCCCGATAGTTGAAACCTAACGCCAACCCCACGCCGCTCATTCAGCCCAATTTGTTTAGGCTTCTGCGTTTAGGGGTTTGGGGATATGTATGCCCGAACTCTGAACACACTACGCAAGTCTTAATCAACGTCTATGAAGCTTGTAATTTGCTTCGTAGAAATTGATCATAGTAGTAGTATCCCCTTCCTATCCCTGTATCTGCGAGGATCTCAGTTAATGGGCTAGGGCTGACTGGGCATGAGATAGACGTTACTTCTGCAGGGCAACTCAGATGAAATAAACATCCCCGGTTCAAAGCTAATCCGGCCAAGGTGAACACATACGCAGCATGTGTCTGCCGCTAATGTTGGGGGTTTACTGGGACATACTGGGACCCTCGCAAGGCAAACTTGGTGTTTGAGTAAACTTTTCTGCTTATGCCTTTTTTTTTCTCTCTCTCTCTCTCACTCTCGCTGTTTCTTTTCTTTCTTTCTTTCTTTCTTTCTTTCTCAGTCTCTGTCTCTCTCGCTCTCTCCCTTTCTGCCTCTCATCCCCTCTCTCTTCACCATCTTCTATCACTCTGTTCCACCTTTCTGCTCGATGTCCCTGCCGCTGTTTCTCGGTTTCTCCTCTCGCGTGCTCATGCCAGGTACGACTGCGTCGACGAAGATTGGAAAGACAGTGACGTCTACGAGGTCTGCCGGCGTCAGTTTCCCCGAAAGCCTTAGGCTCCATAGCCTGAAGTGCCAAGCATATCTTGCCTCGCAGTTCCTCTCCATCTATCTGTTTATCTGTCTATCTATCTCTCTGTCTATCTGTATCATACCATACACCCCCATTATTCCCTAAACCCTAAACCCTAAAGCCTAAACCCTAAACCCAAGCCCAGTAGTAAGGCCCCTTTTTTTGGCGCCCCAGCGCGAATGAGAAGGGGTTCATCGCTTCATGCTTGAAGTTCCAGAAACTCCACCCTGAGGATACCATGTGAAATTTAGGGTTTAGGGTTTAGGGTTTTGGGTTTAGGGGTTTAGGGTTTAGGGTTTAGGGTTTAGGGGTTTAGGGTTTAGGATTTTAGTAAAGCCTTGAAGCCTCCAAAACGGCACATCTGCGCCGGCAAGGTGGAAACGCTTGAAAAAGCGCCTGGAACCAAAACTCCCGAGACCCTCTTTGGGTACCAGGGTTCAGGGTTTAGGGTTTAGGGTTTAGGGGAACCCTTCGACGTACAAAGCCCTTCTACACTGCTGTAAAATGCTATGGATGCCCCCCTCTGCCGCCTCAACTCCCCAAAATCCGCAAAGCCCTAAACCCTAAGCACCAAAATACGAAAGCCCCAAACTCCCCCGCTAAACCCCAAAGCCTCAACACCTTAAGGCCTAAGACCCTTGAATTTAAACCCAAACCTCCCAAACCCTGCTGGTTGAGCTTGGTGGAAGAGCTCTGGATCGTAGAAGTTGTCCCAAGCGTGGCGGCTGTGACTGCCTTGCTATGCACTTCGGGGTTCAGGGTTTTGGGCCTCCACCTTCTGTCTGGTGCTTCGTAGGGAATGGGGGGATGGATCCCTATGATAGTTGTTTATAAAGTCCCTTATAGTACTCCCTATAACCCATTCCCCCATTCCCTACTAAGCACCAGACACGACTTCCTTGTCTTCTCTGCCCTTTTGGTCTTGCCCGATGATCTGATGTGCTCTTCCATGGACGGTTTAGCGTTTAGGGTTTAAGGGTTTAGGGTTTAGGGTTTAGGGTTTGGGTGTTATGCAGGATTTGGGGTTTAGGGTTCAGTGACTTTCCGAGTTGGCTGCTAAGTTGTGAACCAACTGCGGCAGGCGGACGAAAGGCCGCCGCAACCCTTGGTATCGCAACCCGAAAATACCAATCCCTAAGGACCCGAAACCCTGAAACCCTAAAGCCTAATTAAACCCTATAAGCCCTAAGCCGTAAACCCTGAAGCCCTAAACCCCAAGAGCCTGAGCCACTCAGCCCTAAAAGCACCAAGGCCGTAAACCCTAAAGCTTAAAACACCTAAGCCCTAACAGCACCTAACCCCTAAACCCTAAACCCTAAAACCCTAACACACTAAACCCAAAAAGTTTCCCCAACAAGCACCTAAGCCCTCAACCCTAAAACCCCAACAACTTAAAACCCCCACCCTAAAACCCTAAAGGCACTTAAGCTCCAAAGGCACCTAAGCCCTAAACCCTAAACCCCAACTCCTTAAATCCGCAACACCCCCAACCCTAAAAGCACTGAAGCCCCAAAAAGCGCCTAAGCTCCCAACCCTAAACCCTGAACCCTAAACCCTAAACCCCTAAACCCTAAACCCCTAAACCCTATAAACCCTAAGCCCTAAACCCTATAAGCCCTAAACCCTAAACCCCTAAACACCAAACCCGAAGCCCTAAACCCCTAAACCCGAACCCCAAACCCTAAACCCCTAAACCCCAAACCCCTAAACCCTAGACCCTAAACCCTAAACACCTAAACACCAAACCCTAAACCCTAAACCCC